CATAATTACTACTTATCGCTTATATTATTTATTATATTAAAAATAGAAACAAGTTACTTGAATTAATATGTATAATAATAAGTATTATTTATTTGCTTAATATAAATTATCGTTATTGGTATAGCTAATTTTCATATAAACTTCATGATATCACAAAAAAATATTAAAAAACAAGATCGTCTACATCATACAGGTGAGCACGATAATTATATTTAAAAGGAACAAGATAAAATTTACGATACATGGAGAATCTAATTTCCTAACTTTACGTATTAGTAAAAAGAATCAATTTAAACCAAGTAGAAGCCTCCACGCAATCTTCTAACTAAATAAATTTTCATCCCATCTTTGATTTCATATTCCGACAAGAGTTTATCGTTTTCTAATTGATGATTATTAATTATCAACGTCTGCTCTTCTACTGGAATCAAACTCTTTTCAAAATATTTTTTTTTCAGTTCGAGTACTGTATCGGATTTTTTGAGAATGATAGTCGTAGATTTTCCAGCTTGTGCTGTTAAAGCGCTAACAATGTACACTTGCATAAAACCTTCAGCCTTTCGTACTATCCTAACTTTTTCGTCCGTAAAAATTTTGTAATAATTTACTGTACGAATATCTTCAAGCTTCTTGTCTCCAAGAAATAGTTCTTGGTCATCGGTGTTTATGTTGAATTTCGATTCGATTTTTTGTTTTAATTGATGAATGGTATCATCAGAACAAATTTCAAGTTGCAATGTAATATCTCCAAAAAGTATAGGAGAAATCGTGAATTTCATTTTTTTGTTTTTTCAAAACGAAAGTATGTATTTGTAAAGTAAATTAATTACAAAAGAAATTATTTTATTTTAGCAAATTTAAATAAAGATTTTATCATTTTATCATGATTGTGAGCATAATGAAGTCATTAAAACATCTTATTCCGAAATTGGACTAAGGATTAAAAAAATTCTTTTACCTCTAATTCATCGCCAAGAAATAGACGTATGGAATGTATAATTATTAAACGAACAAAATTAATTCACTTGGAAATTAGAGATTCTTGCTGTCAAGGGTTTTTTTGTGTTTGGTTTTTATGACGTCTTTTTCGTTTTGTCTCTCAATTTGGAATCCCTTTTTGACTAGTATATAAACAACCATTGCAAATGAGGAATAAATCAACTTTTTTTTTTTGTCAGATAGCATTTGCCAATTCAATGATTCAACTTTTTCGCCCTCTTTATCGGATATTAAATAGTTCTAACTTGTATGATTGTAAAATTTGTTACGAAGATGAAGGTAGAAAATTTTGTAAAATAACTACAAATTGTGTTCATAAACCCGTTGTTTGTACAGAATGTGTTAGGAAACATATTGAAACATGCATTGACAAGCAACTTGTTGAAGTTCCTTGTCCAACGGACGGATGTACAAAAATAATGGAAAGACATGATATCAAAAATTTCACAACAAATAAAGACTTTGAAATGTGTAATATCCATTTTTTTTTTTCCTCTTTGTTAAAAAGAGTTTTTTTATAAGGAAGGATACCTAATAAATAATTCGTAAATATTTATAGATATGATTCACTTGCTTTCACACTTGCGATTCATAAAATTCCCGAATTTAGGTGGTGCAAAGCCCTTTGCGGAACTGGACAAATTCATCTTGGAAAAGGTAATATTAAAGTGACATTATAACATTATGTATTTCGAATTTACTTTTAACAAACCTTCGTTAATTATATATATATATTTATTTATTTATAGATGAAGCACCGATTGTTATCTGTCAAACGTGTAACGCAAAATCATGTTATACTCATGAAGTTATCTGGCACGAGGGTCAGACTTGCGAAGAATATGAACAGAATAAGAAACAATCCGACTTTGCTACCGAAGATTATCTTTCACGAACATCAAAACAATGTCCTAGTTGTTCGATGTATATCGATAAAACTGGAGGTTGTGATCACATAACGTGTAAATGTTCATATGAGTTTTGTTGGTTGTAAGTATTAACTATATTTTTTTCTTATTAACTAGTTGATTTGATAAATAATTAACGAAAAAATTATTTATTAGATGTATGCATAAATACCCAGACCATAAATCTACCTGTGATTTAAATACAAGAGCTTTTTTGTTTAACTGATCTTTAAAAAATAGGAACCGAGTTTCATTTATAGTCATCACGTGTTATTGCCTAGCATTCATTAAGAATTTATATGATTTGGGCTACTTAAAAATTAGCCTTTAGCAAATCAAAAATGATGTTTATTAATGCTATTAAGAATTATACAATGCTTTTTTTCAATAATATATTCGGGTAAAAGATTTTTTTAACAAATGCTTTAAAGAAATGCAATTTTAAAATAACATATTTAGTATAGATTAGTTTATGATATCTGCTGTGATTTATTATATGATTTTAACTGGGTTGAAATTTTGTATAAGTTGACATTATACTTAATTGTATTTATATTATTATACAGTACATAACATATTAATTGTACTAATTATACTAATTATAATATTTCTAGACTTCCTAACTCTAATAGTATATTCTACAAATTTTGAAGCCCGACCCAGATAATTAATTTATGCTATTTAGCGATGCGAAATTTTAATAATTTAATAATAATTTACTTTATAAATACCAATAGTAAATATTATTATTTATTGAAGTGCATTATACTATCTATTGTTGTTTGCTCGCGCGTCAATAATTTCAATAATTTCATTAAATTACAACCTTTACTGCTTTTTTTTTTTTCTTGACATTTTTAATTAGAATAAATTTTGACATTTTATTTCCTTTTGTTTTAAAAAAAAAATAATAGTAATAATAAATATTTCAATAATGTAACGCAACATTTATTTGCATATTTCATTTATAAGATACTCTCAGCGCGGCTAAATTTTTAACGAAATTATAATTTTTTCAAGAATTATAAATAAAATACTTTGAACCCTAACCCGTCCCGGAATATTCTAAACTTATGATTTGCCGATCTAAACCTGCCCGGAACCGGACCGGCCCGTTGCAGACCAGTTTTTTTTTTTTTTATAAATTATATATTTCTGTATAATTAAATATAATTTTTGTATTAATGAACCAATAAAAGAATGATGCCAAAATAAAGCGCAGATATTATATTTATTATAAAAAAAATTTTATTAAATTTAGACTAATATTTAATGTATCCAGCCTTAAATAATCGCATTAACATAATTGGATAACTCACATTACATTTAGGTAAAAGCTTTCTTTTCGTTTCTCAATTATTGCAGAACCTGTTTCTTTATATATTTATAAATACAGTCAACTCTCTATAAATGCACCCCCTTGGGACCGGACATAAGAGTGCATTTATAGAGAAAGTGCATTTATAAAAAATATAAAAAATTTACATAATAAAATACAATATTAATATTAGAAATATGTATATTATTTATTAACTACTATCTGTAATTATTATTTTATATAAAAATAAAATAATTATTAATCAAAAGTATTGATCTATAGTAGTTTGTTGCATAAAATTTGTTTGTTTTTTCCTAATAAATTTTTCAACTATGTTTACTAGCTTTATACATTCATTTGCATTTTCTTATTGAAGTAAAAATTTATGTACATTTTTTAAAACTTTTTAATGCTACTCTAGTATTAATAACTTCTGTTTCAATACTATCATCAATTTCATCCGAATCATCAATATTTTCATCAAACTTTTCTTTAAAATTATTTACAAGTTCTGCAATAATTTGATCATCATCAAGAATTTCATAAACAATATTTTCATCAGAAAAATTAAGAAATTCTTTTACATGTATCATATCAGAAAGATGAAGATTTTCAAGTTGCTCAAAAAGTTCATCAAGTGTTAAATCATTAGCTTCATAAGTAATATCAAAATTAGTATCATCAGGAAGAATGCTAGTATGTTACCAACAATTATAAATTGTAACATTATTCTAACTTTGAATGATATAATGAATTGCTTGTAAAACATCCATTTTCAAATCTTGAATAAAGTTACCAGCTTCAACTTGTTCTAATATTCGTCTAAATAAAAAAAAAAGATAAGTAATAAATTTTTAAATTAAAAAATTAATAAAATAAATTAACATACCGAATATAAAAACAACAATATTTTTTTTTAAAAGACATAATGATCTTAGCATCCATTGATTGAATTTTTGATGTAGTGTTAGGAGGTAAAAAGCAAATCTCAACATGTTGAAAGTTTAAACCTTCTAATTTATGACTTGGACAATTATTAAGTAAAGTAAAACATGTTCACTCTCATATTTTTAAGCCATTTAATGATCAAAATCCTGAAGTCATTTTTGAAAAAAAATATTAAGCATTCAGGCTTTAATATTATTCTGACATTTCATTGGTAAATTTTAAATATTAACATTTTTGAAACACTGCAGATTTGCATACTTACTAATTATTAGTAGAGATAATTTATAAAACCCATTAGCATTTGTACATAAAGTAATTAAAAGCCGTTATTTGCTTTTTTTATGTCCAGAAAGACGTTTTGTAGCTAATGTCTAATCTAATTCTAATCTATAAATATTATTATTTATTAATTATAATATAATAAAATATTAATAATTAAAATAAAAAAAATAAACATACCTATAAAATAAACTAGTCTTATTCATGTTATAAATCCATTTAAGAGGATAATGACTACATTATTATGTATTAATAGTAAAGCTTCTATGATAGCAGCTTAATCAGTTGATGCTACTTCACCTTGTAATTTTATCTGATGAATTTTATTGCGTTTTTTAAATCCTTGAAGCCAATCTGAAAAAAACTGTAATACATTTTCAGAAATTTCTAATTCATTTGCTAATAATTTAGCTTTTTCAGTTAATATTGCATCACTTAGAATAGCTCAATGTTAATAACTTAAAAGAAATTCCTTAAAAGCAAGTTCAAGCTCTAAAAAAGTAACAGATTTATATTGTTATTGTTCTGGATGGATAACTTCAGAGATAAGTCATTTGTTTTGACTTTGTAAAATTCGCATTACTATACTCTTATGAATTTTAATATCCCATTTTTATTCAACTTAATCTACATATTCACCTTGAGATTTTTTATTATTACTAGCATAAGCACAAAGCACATATTTTTGAATATTTATTAAGGTAACTTTTTTCATAATTTGATTTTTTAGTTAAAAAAAAAAGGGAGGGAAAAGGTAAAGGGAAAAAGCAAAGAAAATTAGAATGTGAAAAACATGTGAAAATATATTAATTACTAATCCATTAGTTGATCAGTACACATGATTGAATTTTAATAAAAAATAAAAATGTGTCTTATAATATAAGACTTAACCATGTTTTAGAAAATATAGAAAAAAATGCATTTAATATAGATTAATTAGTGATAAGTATTTTTGAAATTCTAAAATTTTTTTTTTAAAAACTTAAATATTATTAAATAAAGTATTAATATCTTATTATTTTTTCATTTAATAAGTTACAATTATATTAATATTACTATAGTTAAGGTAGTTGCGATTATAGTATTATAGTTTAAATATAATTTGGTTGAACTTTGATTTAGGTTATGGTTTATATTACTTAATATTATTATAGTTAAAGTTATTACTACCATGATTAAGACAGTTGTGATTTATTGTAACTTATATCAGTATTGTAACTTATATAAATCAACATGTATTGAAAATAAAAAATGAAAACTAAAATAAAGAATTTTTAAAAAAAAATAGGTTTTTTTTTTATGGAACGTAAGATATTTATTTGTATCA